GGTTTCATATCTGTACCTAGAGACAGGCTATTCCTACTCAGGATTATTGTGGTTTTCCCCGAGTTCCTCTTAAGAGTGTCAGACCATTTCCTTCAAAATATTTTCCAATCTGTTATTCAGCAGTCATATTATTTGACACTATATATTCTGAGATACAGACAGCATCATTAAGTAAACCATAAATAAGTAAAAATACGAGTCTTTGTTACAACTTCACTTATGGTGTAGAAAATCTGAAACTAAAGTCTATTTACTGCAAGATCAGCCAAGTGACAGGGCGGAAATGACCAAACAGAGATTGTGGTATTCTTGATTATGACGCCATGTGGGCTTGTAGGTAGTTGCCAACATTTTGGAGGAACGTATTACACTCGTCATTCTTCTTGATAAAGTTGCTTCTATTTCCTTCAGAGCTCATCCAATTTTTTGTTTCTTAAAATTCTCTTTAACAGGGAAGAAAAGTGAAGGAGTGACACGGATGTTACATGAGTACTTTGCATCAGCACCCAATCCATATACAGCAACGCTTCATATAATGTTCAGTTGTGAGGATATTCACCAGGGCAAACACAGTTCTCTTTTATACACAGGTATGATATTTGATGTATGTTTCTATTCATAATCATGCTGTTTGCTGCAACCTGCAGAAGGAACATGAGTAGCTTGTTCAGTGTGATGAGTTCTTTGTATATTTAAAAATTTTCTTCCTTAGTTGGCTACCAATTTTTATTAGAGGAACTCATCTTCTGTGCCTTTCATGATTTTTGAATTGTGTTACAGAACAAACAAATTAATTAATATGTATTTATGCATGGAAGAAAAGAGAGAACTAACCTAATGTAGCCTAGCCTAGCATAGGCATACCTAATCAAATCTAATGTAACATAACCTGATGTAACAAAGAATAAATATAACCGAACTTACATAAGATAACCTAAACTAAATAAAATTAACATAACTGTACCTAACTGTAACATAACCGAACCTAACATAAACTAACCTAACCTATGGTATCCTAGCCTCTGGTTTGACCTGATGTGACCGAACTTGAACTAACCTGGCCTAACCTAACAAAACCAAACCTAGCTTCTGTCCTAACTTAACATAACCTTACCTAATCTGAACTAACCTAACTTAACTTTTAAGAAACAGGTGAATGAAGTTTAGTTCAGAGTTTTTCTCATGAGTTTTTTCATTATTGGGCCACATCTTTGAATATCAGGAATCACTTCATTTGTGAGTTGTTTGTAACTACAAAATATCAGAAAGTAATGAAGTATATAATATAGTTTGGAAACAAAATATTTCTGGAATAAATTGGTCACTGCTAAAACTGTCAAGAGCCATGTGAGAAATGGCATCAATCACATCATTAGTCTTTAGAATCATTGCCATATATAATCAAGATTCATATTTTAAATTGTGAAGTTTAATCTGAATGAAGAGGTCCAGAAGGTGAAGAAGAATTAAAGTGTATCTTCACATATATCATGATTATTATTACAAGTTGTCAAATACAGTGGATTCTGGTTAATTTGGACACATCAGGACTAGAACACTTTGGTCCAATTAAGCGGCTGCCCCAATTATGCGAAGTTTTATATAAAGAATTAAAAAGGTTTATCCTTTAAGATTTGTCACAAATAAATGGCTGCCCCAATTAACCGATGGCCCAATTAACCAGAATCTACTGTATATGTTATTTAAACTTGTATAGTGCAGTTGGATGATCTTAATTGGTACTAGATTTCCTTTACTGTTTGTCATAATTTTGATACACTTAGTTGTCCTTTTGTTTTCTGACTACAAGAATTAATAAGGTAATTAATTATTTTCTCATTACAAGGCTGTATGGCTTTTGCTTTCTCTTGTCAGTAATATCAAAGTTATGAAAATGTTGAAAGACTTGTCTTTGGAGGGGGGGAGTTTTTTAACTCGAGTCCCTTCCCTATTCATATGGAGAATTAATTTTTGCAGTAATGGAGGAATTTTCAAGATGGACAGCAAATAAGGAAACTGAGTTGAAGGACCTTTTAACAGTTGATATAAAACTTCAAGCATTCATCTCTGCCACTCAGCAGAAAAATGTTTCATTTTGCAAGATGGTTTTCAGTATTTATCGGTTGATTGATGATAAGGAACTGTTTATAGAGCCAATAAGGGAATTGATTTCTAGAAGACAGTACAAAGAAGTAAGTGCTGACATTTTGTTCACTTAAAATTATTTTTTCTTTCATTAGATTTAAATTATGCTTATTACTGTGTATTTCTAATGATTGCTTATTCTGTGTCATGCCATGAGGGTTCTGTTTTGGATTGATATCTAATGAAAACATTTATTCCCCTGTCTCATGTAATTTTAAAAGAATATTACTGCATTTAATTTTGTAGTTTTGAAGCTGTAATTTATGTAGAGCGGTCACAAAGTAACTCTGTACTTCATCTACGTTAAAGTAAGAAGGGAAGGGAAGATGGAAGGTTCAAAGGGAGCAGGACAGCAAGGAGTCTGTCTGTGCATGTTTATGAAAACTGAAAACAATTTTTTACCCTTTTATATTTGATGCAGTTGGTGGTATTTTGGTATACAAACCTTTACATTACACTGTATTTTATAAACACTATCAATGCAGGAACACATGTTGATGAATGGGTGCTACTTCTACAGCGTAAATACTGTTATTTCACAAGTAATACTACAGAGAAGGAATGGATTATCTCTCTGTATTATCACTTCATGGTCTTCGCCTTCCTTCCATATTTGTGCTTGTAATAGTCATTCAAGCTCAGTTATTTTGTGCCCACTGCACCTTAAGTATTTCAGTAATTATTTCTTCAAGTCCAACATTTAACCAAATATTTTCATCTCAAAGTTACTATATCATTGATTTTTTCAGACTTCTGTAGTCATATCATGTTTTTCCTTTTGTGTGAGTGTGAAACTTGGTCTCAAATTTAAGGAAGAACCTTGATTGGGGGTTGTTGAAAATATAGGTAAATTTTGCAACTGAATAAAACAACAGCAGGATGTTGCTAAAATGTGGCATTAATGAGCCAGATTAACAACAGTGATGCAGTTATAATTAGGGTTCGGATGTTCATGACATGTCATATTTTTATTGGGGCTTGTATTTTCATTCTAAACTGAAATTAAACACTAACTGGGTTATCCTAATCACAATTATGCTGTTTCTATTTTGCATATAAATGCATACAATTTAGGTCATTTTTATGTGTTTGGTCATATTTGTAGTTAAATGCATATTTTGGTTATATTTTGAGGATAAAATTCATATTTTGGTTATTTTTTGGGTATAAAATTTGTACTTGTAACTACATTTCTTAGGCATTTACAGTGAATCCCTCAGTTAGTTAAGATGTCAAAAGTGAAGTGTTCTGAAAGTGTGAAGTTAAGAGGTTTAGTTGAAGATTTTGGCGAGGAATATTTTAGTTCTGATGGATCAATTCTGTTCTGTAAACTTTGTGAAGTTAAAGTTACTGCTGGTAAGTGATTTAATGAGCAACAACATTGTGATATGGCAAAACAAAAATAATTTGAGCTGACAAACCAGTCATCAAAGCGAGCAACGAGTTCTGTTCGATAACACTGCAACAACTTCACCATCAAGCAAGACATCGGAATTTTCAAAGGACCTGTGTGAAATTAAGGCGTCTGCCAACTGAACAAAGTGAACAATGAGCAGTTCAAAACTTTCTTGGAGAAATACATGACTCAGTTAATTCCAAACGAATCAACACTAAGAAAAAACTGTGTACCTGCCTGTTATGAAGATGTTCTGAAAAGAATTACATGTTCTGTGGGCGACAGTGAGATTTGGGTTTTGCTTGAAACAACGGATGTCTGCGGCAGATATGTAGCGATTGTCATTATTGGCACGCTCTTTGCTGGTCACCCTGGTGACTTGTTACTTCTTGATACAGTAAACCACTCCTCTATCGCTGTAATTTTCGATAATGCCATGAAACGTTTGTGATGTCTCTAGTTTCAAGACCATATTGTGCAACAATCTAAGAAGATTTTCATTTGAGACCTTGAAAATGCAAATTGTTATATATTGTAATGCTGCCAAAAAAGGAAAATGAAGAAGGTACTTAATATTTTGAATTTTGTTTATTTATTTGTAATGAATTTGGAATGGATGAAAGGCTCTTACTTAAAATTTATCTTTTTTTTTTATAGGAGCACGTATACTCAAAATCTGATGCTCATCCAAAACGAGGCATTTACAACTTAAAACGACTGAGTTTTTTGATTAAAATTGCTAGGAAATCAAGTAATGTGATAGTTGTACATGCATATGTAAATAAATAACATAATTGAAATACAAAAGGTTTTTTTTAAATTTTAGAGAATATTTTTTCATAACAAATTCGGTCATATTTTGCCTTTTTTGGGTCATATTTCGCTATTTTTGGGGCATATTTACATGCATATTTCTCAGTTTTTTAGGTCATGAACATCCGAACCCTAGTTATAATAAACTGATGAGTGAAAGTGATTATGAATGGAACTGTAACTATGATGACCATAAAATTCTCATCGTGGAAACCAAGTGGCTCATACGTTTTAAAGAGAGCAGGTGACTTTATATTTGAAACAGAAGGGATTCTTATTGCTTTACCTTGAGACTTAGTTCAACTTCATATAGTACATATCCAAATGCCAAGCTGACATTCTTCATTTACCACAGGGTTATTGTAACAAAGAAGTCTGATGCCTCGCTTTGTAGTTATGGCTATTAGACTTCCTATATAATTTGATTTCTGCTCACAGTACTTCTTAAATGACTGAATTAATTAGTGACCTTTGCAAAATTTGCACACATATTTCTCTGTTTGATAAGTATTTGGCTTTTCCTGGACTAGATGAAATTAAAAACTTGTAACTGTTATATAAAACTTACGATTTCTGGTTTTTCAATTTCTCATGTGCATAATCCTTATGAATAACATGGTGGCTCATCAGGTATACATGATAAGGTTAGAATTTGGTCAAAATAATCGGTTCGCATTTGTGTTACATTTACTTAGTTAAAATAGGAGTTCTGTCTTTAGAGTAACCCAGTAATAAATATATTGATGTTTGTAGGCATGCCAAAGTGCCACTCTGCTTGAACTCCATCAACACTTTACTGTGGAAGATTTCATCATTCAATTAGTGTTTCAAGACAAGCTTTCAGTTGCTGAGGAGTTTCTACTTGGTAGCCCACAGCACCAGAGGCTTCTGGTCTCATTTTTGGATGATCTGTTGGGTAGAAGGAATATTAAATCTGAAGGAGAGTTTATTATTAAGTAAGCATTGGTACCGATGATGATGATGATATTGAAAGACTTCTTATTGATGATCGGGAACTGATCCTGAAAAGGCATAGTTTGCAGGTAGTAGGTAGTAAGGCAGAGGTCAACAATTGGTGCTGACTGTGATTTTGCCGGGGACCGATGTTCACAGGTTTTGTCTTGTGTTGTAGGAATATATGTTGCCACATGGTAATTCATCATGCTGTAATTTTTTGTGAAAGATATTTTCATCCTGAATACAAAAAAATGTGTTATCTATATAAAGATACCAGCAGCTACAAGAAAGAAAAATTTATGTTCAAAATGAGTACTGTTTGTGTCACTTTCAAAACAACCACATAAAACAATGAATTGAAATGTACAGTATCAGATTTGAGTGTGGAGTAGTTACTGTGTGTCTTTGAGTTGAAAGTAAGATAATTATTTTGGATGGCCAGTTATTTGTGCATACTGTCCCCATATAATTGAGATTATACAGTACTTTGTACCTGGTAATTTTAGTATGAAGTTTATTGGCACAATGACAAAGGGTTTGTGTTAAGAAATTTACGTGTGTAAAATGTTTCTTGATGTCTGAATTTTTCAAGGAAGTTTATGGATGCGGTGGCATAGTGACGGAAATATTGATTTGCAGTCAATAAAAGAATCCCCAACATTTTTATGTTGCAAGTTAGGATGCTAATACAAGAAAAAATAATTTATAAGACTAGGAGTTTTTTTATAATTATGTTAGGTTACAAACATGGTAATATGTAGGATTTCAGGTTTTCACTGTGTTGAGTCTGAAGATGGCTGTCTTCTGGGTTGTGGGGCAAGGACCTCTGAAATGTCGGTAAACTTCTACCAGACTACATGTCGCAACAACCCAGAAGACAGTCATCAACATGGCAATTCCTGTTCACTGCTGAACTTTTATGAATTTATGTTGGAAAATTAACATATTGATACTGCTGCAGTTCAAGTATACTTTGTCTGCATTGAAAACTCGTCATTATGAGCATTATCATTATCATGTCACTGTACAGTTTGGTGTATTGGTAATGCTTTAGACTTTCCTGTGGGAAGTGAACTCAGTTTGAATCCTGACTTATTTTCTTCTTGTTTCTATGGATCCTTTCTCTGATAAATGCTCCTCCACATTAAATGTTATACATATTTAAAAACCTCTATATAACAAACCTGTTTTGAAGAAGAATTATCTTATATATAGGTAGATTCTGGATTATAGTGTTATAGGGACTATAACTTGTGTAAACAACTCCCATATAATAAAGGTTTTAACCACTTGTACACTCTTTTGTAAATGAAAGCAGGCAGCTTTGTTATGGCACCATTCAATTTTAAATACTATTTCAATAGTTTATGAAAGTTGTTTGTTGCTGCACTTGAGAATTACTTAATTAAGGTATGATGAACAGTCAGATTTTTTTCTGTGAAAGAAGTGTTGTAACTAATCTTTTGTGAATATGGCCGGATTACTGAGAACTTAACAAATAAAAGATTTAAATTAGGAAACCTTAGCTTTAATGTCAGAAGGTTTGTTTACTGTTCATATTTGTGTGTTATGAGCAATAATTTTTTATATACTGGTTTCTGACCTTACAGAAGGCTACATATACATGATGCTAAAGAAGACAAACTGCATCAGAAACCCTTGAGCAAACTTGTTGCTAGATTAACAAAGGCATATAATTTACCACCAGAAACTTGCCCAAATCTGAACCAGAAACGTAATGAGGGAGCTCTCCAATTCCTCATCCATAAGCGATACATAGAAAATACATTAGGTAAGTAGTTTCATGATTCTTATTTTCAGAAAATGATTGAAGTATGAGATTTCAGGTCCTGCAGTGGTGAATATAAAGATGACTGTCTTCTGGGTTGTTGTGCCATTTTGTCTTGCAGATATGTACCAATGTTTCAGAAGTGCTTGATGCCTCCTTCATTACAGCAGTGATCACAATGCAGAGGACACCCATCTTCAACCATTTTTGTGTTGAACAGTGATTCAATTTGATGCAGCATTATCTGTGTGTATTGTAGCACTTTTATGGTTAAATTCACTTATTTATTTCTTCCTTTATTCAGCAATGTTATTCCAGTTATATTATAACTAACTAACTAGATGGCTTACCGAACCCGAAGGTTCATCCCAACCAATACCTGGTGCACACCTCTTGTCCCATCCATGCGCGCTACGTGCCCTGTCCATCTCATTCTTCTCGACTTAATCACCCTGACAATATTGGGGGAGGAGTGCAGATTTTTAAGCTCATCATTATGCAGTTTCCTCCACGCCCCATCATCTTCTCTCCTAGGCCCAAATATCCTCCTCAACACCCTATTCTCAAACACCTGCAATCTCTGTTCCTCTCTCTGAGTGAGAGACCATGTTTTGCACCCATACAAAACAACAGGCAAAATTACTGTTTTGTATTCCTTAATTTTCAGGTTCTTAGAAATCAGACGGGAAGACAAAATATTTTGAACTGAGAAGTAGTAAGCATTTCTGGAATTTAGTCTCCTCCTAACTTCCTAATGAGTATCATTTAAAATTTGAGAATGACTGAATAATGAAGTGGAAAGGATGTGGGGTAGTAGTCTTGAGCTGTTGTAAGGATTTGTCTGGAGGAACTGAGGAACCATGAAAGATTTGAGTCAGCATAATTGACCTCCAGGCTGAGAATCCAGTATGGAACCTCTTGAATAAAAAATAGTTCCACGGCAAGAGTTTGAAAGTGAAGTTTGTACACATTACTTTCTTACTGTCAGTATGTCAGAGTGAGAAACAGGAATCATTTGTGGGCTGACACTTTCTGGGTTGTGACAGTGCATTTTCAACCTTTTGCAGGCTGAGGTCCAAATTTACACTTGCATATTGACTGCAAGGTTATAAATTAGAACAATTTCTTGAAACTTTAGGGCAGTTCATTAAGAATGCTGCATAGTTTTATAAAAACGTTTGTGTATGTACTGTTAATCTTTGTTGGCAAAATCAGACATTGGTGGTTCCTATGCTTGAGTAGTGTTTAAATATCAGGTCCTCTTGTTATTCTCAAACATCCCCCCAAATATTTGTCGGTAAGACACATCTTGCCTCTTGATTTGATGTTCTTTATTAAACTGTAGTTTGTTGCTGCAACTGATTGCATTAACAAAATATGTTTTCTGATAAGAAAGTATTTTTCTTCATTAAGATTGAAACAGTAGGAATGTTGCTGAAAATGTACATGGGCCACATATAACAGTGTAGGACTATGCATTCTATTAGTGAAGAACCCCTGCTCTAGATTGTACTGTGCTTGAAATGGTTATGTTAACAAAGGGTTTTGCTATCAATGCAGAGATCCTACCTCCTAAACCCTATCATATAATTTATGATCATCTTCCATCTTATTTACTGCTAACAATTAATGTTTTAGTTAACAGGTTTTATTATTTACAAGTGTATGAGTTTTCCAGTATTATCAAAAGTGTCATAAGCTGTCCTTATGTTATTCTGATGATGAGACATCAATATATACCTAGATTTTATGTGCATTTATCTCCGGTAATGTTGTAACGGGTAATTATAGGTCGCGAGAGTTGGAGGGAAATGGTACGTGAAGCAGTGGGAAACAATAGAGACTTGCAGTTGGAACTTATTGCATGTGTTAATAACTGTGGGGATCCACATGAAGCCTTATACTGGGCAAACACATATGGAATTCCAAAACATAAACAACCATACAATGTTCAAAGGCTTCAAGAAGCAGATTCAGATATTAGGTAAGGTTTAAATTATATTGTCTGTGAGCCTTCTAAATTCATGTCTTGGGAGAAATTAACATGTTCACTTTGCTCCTTGAGTCTAAGTGTTCTTTCCTTGTGTTTCTTTCAGACAAGTTTTTTGTTGGGTGGACATATTGTCTGTTTGCTTTTATAATTTTTATCATGAGCTATTGCCACCGTTTGGGAATAGTTTGTACAGGTAAACCTCGATTTACGCCAGGGACGCGTTCCTGGACGAACCGGCGTAAATGAAATCGGCATAAATTGAAACTCTTTTTATAATATAAATCAATGGGAAGTCAATGACGTGTGTTCCTGGCACCCAAACATTGACGACTTAAGTTCCTCAAAAATTGACTTTGCCTTATCCGTGATAGCAATTTCAGTCAAGAGAATGTTTTTTCGATTCATGTCATCCACCCATAGCAACAGTAATTTTTCCATTCTTTCTAAAAGTTTACTTCTGCTATAACTCACTTGCGTTGCACTTACTCTTGTAGCTTGTTGCATTGTCTGTTTTATTTTATATGAATTTTTCATTATGGTAGTCACAGTGGAAGGAGGCAACTTCATACTTCTGCACATGTTATGACGGGTATCACCACCTTCTATTCTATGAATTACGTCCATCTTATCTTCTAACACAATAGACCTACACAACTTTTTAGCAACACATTCACTTCTCTTACCAGACATGGTGGCTCTTCTACAATTTATAAATATAAAACAGTTGCTACTGCAGAATAGTGGTCGAACAACAACACAAATACTTTAGCACACAGTTTTCAGCACATTCAATGTGTCAACAAGAAGCGAACTGAGCGTATTTTTCCTTACTCCCTTATCAGGCTGATCACAATTGACTCACAGTGAAGAGTGACCAATGCTCACGTGACTGTTGCGCAATGTTGGCGGATTTTTAGGAGATTATCTTGCAACTACTTAGCAATGAGTGCAGAGGTGACTGTATTTATAATTTTTATTCAAAATCAGCAATGTAAGAATTACAATTTAGTATAAGAATCAGAACAGGAAACATTGTAAAACATTATAAATAATAGTAAAATATATATTTTTTTTCACTTTTTGACTTACTGGTTTCAAAAGCAGCATTATTGTGAATCGGCGCAAATTGAGGTTTACCTGTATTATATTGATATATATTATGATGATCTTGTGTTAGACAAGTAAGTAACTGTGTCTAATGTTTGTTTTCATTAGCCTGCTGCCTGAGACATGGCATCCATGAAACAACAATTCCTTTAATTTTAATGAAGATCTTTGAATCTGTTTAGGAACTACATTAAGAACAATTACGATGAATCACAATGTGTAATTTTTTTTAGTGCTGGAGGGACCATCACATTATTTGGTAAGATAGTAGCAGAAAGGTTAATCATGTCTTATGTATTGTGTATCAACCCTTGACTTAGACATAAGATCATCATATTCCTGTCAATGTAATATATATGTTTCAGCTAAATTCTGAAATTTAATGTTAAATGTTAAAATCAGCCAGCTGATTTTGGTATCAGCCCAAACAAGTGGTTATGGCATGAAATTAAATTGCAAACACCTGTTATTCTTACAGTTGGATCATCTTAACATAGGCACTGCTATTCTGGATAATGTCTAACACAAAGGATTTAATGTTGTCATTAAAGATAACTCTATGGATTGTAAAGGAATGAAGTTTGTCCCATTATTTTATTATTTTTAACCATTAGGTTTCTCAATGTGACTGGATTTTGAGGTTTAGCTATGCATGCGCACACACACACACCATGAAAATAGATTTTGATATTTGAAAAATACATAATTAAGTGAATTCAAATTGAAATGATGGTACATGTTTAGAATTTATGTTCGTGAAATTGTACATGTGCATCTCATGCGATATGGGAAAAATTGATATGACATTCGGTCTTTACTCAGACATAGAGTATTTCTGGCATTATGGTTTCATAGTTGCCAGTAACTTCCTATATGATATTGTACCTTCAGTACATTGGCAACATCACAGAAGAAATCTGAGCACCTGTTACTGCTCTCAGAATTTTATCTGTTACAGTTTATTTTCACAAATGGAAGAAGATGAAGTCTTCCAACAAGACAGTGCATTGTCTCATTTAGCAACTTTTTTGTGTAAGTGTTCTGAATGAAAAATTTCTAGGCTTTTGAGTGGTGACCAACTAGGTACCCACCGCTTAAATTTTTTTAAGATACATAAAAAGTGCAGATTAAAGTTTTTGTCATAATTTTATTTTCTGTTTAATTTGATTATGTGTTGTGATTATAAAAATATAATGTTTTCATACACAGAACATACTAAATACATTTTGTTAACACTTTGTGTGTGTGTGTGTGTGTGTGTCTGTCTGTGTGTGTATATAAGTTCTGTAATTTAGCAATAGATTTGTTCTACACACTGTAATACATTTATAGATAGCCAACTTTGTCAGTGAAATATTTAAATGTGCGTTATATGGACATGAGGCAATGTGAAAATGGTAAAAAACACTTTTTGGAACGTAAAATGAAATGAAATTCTCAAAGCATTTAATAACCATTAAAATACTACTACTACTACTACTACTACTACTACTGCTGCTGCTGCTGCAGTAGACCATTGTTATACTGCATCTCATTATATCCCTGAATCAGATACACGAAGGGTATGTCCCCCATACAAACAAAATCTAAAATTAGATAAATCCTGTTTTTAATTTTAACATGAACAGCTTATAACATGGGTGTTGAAGCTGTGTTCTAACACCTGCAGTATAACAAGGATCTTCTGCACTGCATTTCAGAAGTTATCTTTTGTCTTGTTTACAGTCAGCAGCAGGGTGCAGTGGCTCTAGTCTATAGTGATAACCAGGGAGAGCAAGAATCATGGGATGATGACTCACCTCAATACTGGTATCATGTTTTTCCACTGTCCCAGACTAGCATTTTTGTTGTGGATACAGAGGAAGGTTTTGAACTGTTTCTTGAATATATTAAAGTAAGTGCTAGGATAATTATTCTAAATCATATAAAAGTGCCCAGCAGTCATTTCCCAGAAGGATTCCCTACCAAAATCCTGTGTGCACCCCTTCCCCCCCCCCCCCCTGCCGTTAATTCTGAATGTACAGCCATATCAAATGCAAGACGTGATTTATACGCTGTGTGGGGAATGACCTGTTGGGAGAATAAATGATTACATAAGTTTGGGAAGATGCAAAAGTAACTAGGTCAGCCAGATATTGTCTTCCTGAGCTCTTGTTTTCAAACACTTGTAATCTACATTCTTCCTTCACGGTAAGAGAACATGTTTCACAACCGTACAAGACAATAGGCAAAATTGTTTTATATATCCTATCATTTGCGTTTTGGATAGCATACAAGATTGTAACAGTTTTTGAATTGAATACAAACAAGCGTTTCTTGAATGTATTCTACCCTTAATTTCATCATGGACCTTATTTCTGTTTGTTACTGTTGTTCCCAGATATTTGAATTTTGAAACATTTTCAAATGATGTGTTACTTATGAGTATGTTTTGCTGTTGTTGCTGATGTTGATCCTGTATTACGCCCTTGTATTTAGTTTTGTCTACATATATCAGTCAAAAATTTATCACTGATTCTGTAGGAGAGTTCCTGCAAATTGACTTCATCAGCATAGGCAAGTACTTGGTCACACCATTCAATTCGAGCCCTTCCTGATTCCCTATGACCTTCTTGGTGACATGTTCTAGAGCATTGCCATGTTTTAGGCCATTGTGCACTGGGAACGGTTCTGACAGAAGGTTACCTCCTTCAACTCCTATCTCCCATAGATCCTGCCTGAGATTATCCTCCCATCTACGTCTAGGTCTCCCCAGCGGTCTCTTCCCCTCAGGCTTCCCAACTAATACTCGTTGCACACCTCTTGCCCCATCCATGCATGTCACATTCCCTGCCCATCTCATTCTTCTCGACTTAATCACCCTGACAATATTGGGGGAGGAGTATAAATTTTTAAGTTCGTCATTATGCAGCTTTCTCCATGCCCCATCGTCTTCTCTCCTAGGCCCAAATATTGTCCTCAACACCCAATTCTCAAGCACCTATAATCTATGTTCCTCTCTTTGAGTGAGAGACCATGTTTCGCACCCATACTAAACAACAAGCAAAATTATTGTTTTGTGTATTTTAATCTTCAAATTCTTAGAAATAAGACGGGAAGACAAAATATTTTGAACTGAGAAGTCACAAGCATTTCCAGAATTTAGTCTCCTCCTAACTTCCTCATGAGTATCATTTTGATTTGTTATTGTTGTTCCCAGATATTTGAACTTTGTAACCCTTTCAAAGGATTTGTTAGCCACCCTAAGATAATTCTTCCTGCCTGTCTGCTAACGAAATATTAACATGTACAGGTTTCCTTTAAGCATATTTTTATTAGATTCACTAGCTTCTTTGGTATATTAAATTCAATGAGAATATGGTATAGCACTTCTCTCTTAACAGTGTCATTGGCTTTTTTGAAACCTATAAGTAATTGATGCACGGTCCCACTGTACTCCCATTTTTTCTCTAGTGTCTGACGGATGCTGATCAATTGTTGATCTGTTACGTTTGAACCCACACTAATGATCCCCAATAATTTCATTCACATGTGGAGTTAATCTCACCAGAAAAGTGTTTGATACAATTTTGTATGAGGTTGATAGAGAAATTCCTTGGTAATTACCACACTCATTCTTGTCCTTGTTATAAATATGAATTCCTTCCATTGTTGTGGCATCTATTCCTTATCCTAAATTAACTGCATAAGCTTATGGATCCTCATATGGAACCCTTTGCCACCTGCTTTAATTAATTCTGCTGGAATGTGATCAAACCTGGAGATTTATAACTTTCTGTATGTATTTCAGGCTCTTTAAATTGATCAGTTACGTGAATATTTAATACCTTACTAAAGTAATCTTTCCATCTGGCTATGATGCCATGTGAGTTCGTGAACAGATCCCCATTCTCATGCTAGATCAAATGTGCGCTAGGTTTGTACCCCTTCTTAAATTCAATCATGCCTCTATACAATTCTCTTATGTTTTTATTTTTTGCTGTTAGTTTCAAACTCCCCTATCTGATCTTTTAGGTACTCCCTCTTATTCCTCATAGTTCTGCTGGTGTCATGCCTTACACTGACATATCTTTCCCTGTTTATTTGAGTACAGGCCTGCAGCCATTGCAATCTAACCCGCTTCTTCCGTCTTACCAAGACAGAGCTTTCTTCATCAAACCACGCTTTATTTCATGCAATTTTATGATACCCTACACTCTCTTCCGCTGAAATGTTTTTATCCCATATATTTTCCCAGGCCGTAATGTCGTCTGCTTCCCTACTTTCTTTATTCTCGACAGCATTTTCTATGATTGAAAACCTATTTGAAATTTGTACCTGATACTCTTACTTAGTTTCTGCTTTGCTCATTCTTTTAATGTTGACTTTCTCAATTCTGTATATCTGCCCCACCTGTTTTCTGACCAAGAGTCTTGTCTTCAATTTTGCTACCACTAATTAATGGTATCACAGCCTGCTCCCCTATAAGATCACTCATCCACAATGTTTGATTGTCTCCTGTGATGGATAAGAAGATGATCAGTTTGATTATGGGTAATCCCATCAGGGAAAGTTTAAGTGTGCTTATGGATATCAAGTTGTGGGAATGTGCTTTTGATGATCAGATTTTTGGATGTGGCAAATTTCACTAATTTCACTCCATTGTCATTACTAAATTCATGTAAACTCTCTATAGTTGGTTTGAAAATATCCTGCCAACCAATTTTGGCATTGAAGTCTTCTAACAGAATTGTCATGTGGTTTCTGCTAAACTGATTAAATTAACTGCTTGCTGAAGATCTTTTTTTGCTAAAAGAAAAAAGATTTCCAGGCAATGGTCCTTCCCCTTTCCATGGTATTATATGTAGTTCCCCTTTGTTACTCTCTCCATCATTAGGCCATTTAACCTGTATTCCTGCAATATCCAAACTCTACTTCCCTACCTCCATAGCTAATATATCCCTCGTCCCTGTTCTAAATAAGCTCATCACATTCCACGTTCCTTTAAGGAACAGCCTCCATTTATGAAGGTTAGCTGTGAATATATTGAATAAGCAGTTTCTGACAGCCAATAAGGGGTGGTCCTCCAGCTTGGGGGTTGGGCATAGGGCTAACAACTTCTACACTGTAAAAATGTTTTATGTTACGGAAACAACAGCATAGCCTCGGAATAGGATGTTTGTGCACATGCAAAGATATATTAAGGCGGTGTTTCTAATTGCAGGATGTTCCTATGGTGGGTATTGATTCAGAATGGAAACCATGCTTTGGTACTAGAAGAAATGAGTTGGCTTTGATACAGATAGCTTCTAGAGAACAAGTTTATATTCTGGATGTCTGTAACCTAGGTTCAAAATGTGCAAACCTGTGGCATGAACTGGGTCTTATCCTATTTGCCAATGAAAATATCATCAAATTGGGTAAACATATTTAACAAATTATTTTTTTTACTTTTTATCATTTAAATGATTAATTATTTTTGTTATAAACAGAAATACAGTGAAATGTCATTAGTGGTTACCGACTAAAATTTAATTATAGTTACAGCTTTGGTATAATGAAATTTAATAAAAATTGTAATTTTTTCCTTAGACATATTTGCTAGCCCATTTTGGAATAAATGCATGTATTCATTCCAATCAGGTGAGTTTTAAAAATTAGCAGTTGTAATAGTGGTTTAATACCCCTAAGCAGAAAATTAATAAAGTTTTCAACTCGTCAAAAGACCTTTCAATTATGAAGTAGTATCTCAAAAGTATAATTTTAAAAAGAATTAGTTTTATAAATATGTTGAATGTTTTTCAGTATTTACAATCAGAATTTCATCTGTCTGCTAACCTTTTACTAGCATGAATGTGCCAGTGCAGCGTGGTCCAACTGGCGGCTCGCGACCACTTGTAATCCGGACCATAAAAGTATTTGGTAATTTGTTACTAGTTAGTACAAACCCGTTGGACCACTCTGTGCTAGTGCATTCATTGTCAGGGTGTTGCATAAATTATGAACCTTCCCATACATTTTGCACTTCCCACATCCTGTAGCATACACATTTAGAGTAAATTTGTGCTTTGCTTAGGACTCTGAACTTCTGATGTCTCTTAGAGATTGATTACATGAAGTTCTCATTTTGTTTCCCTCTTTTATCTCTTTCTCTCTATGTATATCCAAGAATGGCACAAGTAGCAATATTGTAATGAGAGGAAATAAATTCACCCTGGCAGTGTTTTTGGGCCTCTTAAATATCAGTCAGGTTGGTTATTATCATTATTGAAGCCAAATGCAGTGTTTGTCTAAAAACATGAAGGATGAAGATTGTAAGATCAGAACATGAAATATTAATTATAGAATTTGTTTTGCTATTGTTTAGAATGTTTATTAGAAACCCAAATTATTTGCAGTAGAAGTATTAAAAGTACAGTGTAAGGTGCTTCAGTTACTAGACAATTGATCTTGTGTTGGTTATGGTCAAGTCATGCACATTTTCCCTCCTGTACTTGAAACTAAATTATGAAAATGTCCGTCTGTGGAGCTGATGAGAGCAATGTTGTGAAGCTGAAGTATACAATATGGTGAATATGTGATGTTAAAGAATTTTGTTTTGGTAGTTGTATCCAAAATTTTGATGATTTTGTTAAACACATTACTAACTTGTGTCATGAAGTTGCAAAGTTGGCCTATGAATGTCCTCCTTGAGAAACTGTTAGTATGCTCATCTAGTCAAGAAATTCTCAAGATTTTATGGAATTGCAGTTCTTTACCATGTTCACACAAGTACCAGTCCCTACTTGAACCAGATAAGTCCAATCTCTCCCAACTCCCATGAGATTGTTTTATTCCACTAATATTTATTAGTTAGTTGTGATTGGTCCACTTTTAATTTAGAAGCCTTCATGTTGTTATTTTTTCAAAAGGAACAGATCAGAAAAGATAATTACTATACCTGTCATTAGAAAATATTTTAATGATATTTCACTGTATTAGCAATAAAATGTCATGTGTTTAACTCTCATAGTTTATTATACAGAAAATGTCGCATTATATATTACACACTCTTGATTTGTGATGTAAACAGTGATGTTAGTGTGTAATGGGTAGTGACTTTTAAAGGGAGGATTAGTCCATATTGGTGACTTGTTCATTGTGGTTTCTTGTTCAGTGAACAATAATTCTTTCCTTATACCACAACTGTGTATGACATTATCCATTGTCTAGAGATATATTTGATATATTAATACATTACACTTCAGTAGTTTACTGTATGCACATCTTTATTTAGGTGATTAGTTATAATTCTACTGATGTATGATTTTGTTCTATATGGAAGTGAAACTTTGGTTAGCAGAATTTAATTAATTAAATGGAAGAATTGATTTTTTAGAGAAAAACATTCTGGAGGAGGACAGATAACCTAAAGCTTCCAAAACTTAGTTTATGGCTGTACCATCTGACATATGTCTCCTCTGACAAGAATTATTTTCTGTATTCATTCAACTATGAGGGTTGCAACTCAGAAACAATATGTGTTTGCATGAAGGTCTTAGCCAGTAACCAAAACATATTTTGGAGGAAGATGAAAGGATTGCCATCATAAAGAATATCATTCTGAAGGTCTGGTATGGGTACTAGTCTTCTTATCCTGTTCTGTAGCAAAACAGTTTCACTATTCTGTTCTAAGTAGGATGTTCTAATTTATTTTGTCATGGTAGATAACGAGTACTAGCTTTGTTCAATAAACCTAACTGAGTAGGTATTTTGCCTTCCTCCTTGTTTCTTACCCGAAGAAGGAGATAACATTATAGACATAACTCAATGTCACAGAGTGGACAATTTTCATTGACTTTCCGTACATCAGGAAGAATACATTGTTAGACAGTGAAGTCCCACAACTTGTCATTCCTTAGAGACTGAAGAAGTATAGCCAATTAGGAAGACCATTCAGAAGGTGGCTGTGAAGTCAGAAGAGGTTTAGACTTATCTATGGAAAGTAAAAGAATAAAAACAACAATGTGCTTTTTTTAAGTTCTGGTGCCGTGTAGACTCATCAGTAGATGCCACTGTTTCTCTAAAGCATTGGCATCTGCTGATGAATCTGCATGCTGCCAGAATTGAGAAGAAGAACATTATCATCCTCACTGCTGTGAAAACCTTGAATCTCACAAGAATAAGGTGTTACAGACCAGTCAGGATTGAACCAGAAACCTTTGGAATACTAAACTTGTATGCTAACTACTGGAGTAATTGGTGATCTTCTTTTCCGTCAGTAATGGATAGGCATGAATAGCCATAGAAGCTGACACACCGCTGAGCCCACAAACAACAAGTTAGCAATTTAATCCTCTATTATCATTTTATTTTGAACACTGCATCATATAAGTAGTTATTCATTTAATCGGATCAGTAATCCATTCTAGGGTTTGGTCTCATCACGGACATGGACATGATGAAAAGATCTCTGCCACACTTGGGAGGGACAAGTCTCAGTGGTAAAGGGTATATAGATCTTGTTGTACTGTGGAAGAAGTTGATCCAGGACCATCCTTTTGTCTTTCCTTATACAGGTGAGTGACAGGCAACTCTCTGGCCAATTAGAAAGCACTTTGATACATTCTCTTTTAAGGTAACTGTCTTCTGGGATATTGTATTGTGTAGTCTGGTTGTACTTACCAATGTTTCAGAGGAGCTTACTGCTTCATTTGTTTCCGTGGGAAAAATTAAGGTCCAATACATTTTGAACAGACCTCATACATACCCTATTGTTTGCATTAAGTTGTCATTAAATGATGTATTTGTTTGCCTTTCATTAAGTAAGTTTATACAGAGTGAGTCAGAAGTATGTTTACAAATTTCGTGTGCGTGTTCCAGGATCAAAAATAAGAAAAAATGTTCCTATGAACATGGGGTCGCAAATGTTTCATTTTCGAAATAATAGCCAAAAATAAATTTTAACGAATTGACTTTATATCAAAGTGAATCCGGCTTCCAGCAAAGATTTTCAATTAACGTTTGTGCAGGAATTGTTAGCAACATGCTTATTGGTCCACACATGCTTCCATTGCATCTAAGAGGACCTTCATATCGGTGATTCTTAAGAAGACACTTGCCACGTCTCCTTCAAGATGTACCACTGAATACAAGAAGACAAATGTGGTTTATGCACCACAGAACCCCAGCACACTTCTCCCATCGCGTCAGAGAACATCCCAATGAACAGTACCCTCAGCGATGGATTGGGCTTGGTGGCCCATTAGCATGGCCACTGAGGTCACCTGACCTGACTCCGTTGGACTTTAATCTGTGGGGTCACTTGAAGTCCGTCGTGTATGCAACATCCATGAACAATGATGATGACCTATGGGAACGTGTGCAGAATGCGTGCCAGATGATTTGAGGAAACCCCGGTGTGTACGAACGAATCCATCAGTCTTGTGTGTTGAGCATCTGTTATAAAGAAACATCCCTGTCCTTATACTTGGCAATTAAGGCATACATTGAAACTTATTTTTGGCTATTATTTCGAAAATGAAACATTTGCGACCCCATGTTCATAGGAACATTTTTTCTTATTTTTGATCCTAGAACACGAAGTTTGTAAACATACTTCTGACTTATCCTGTATATTAATATATTGATGACAAGTTTAATAGGATATAAACAACAGTAATTCTAACTTCTGTTTAAAAAATAATTATAATTTGTGTTTAGTGGAACATACGAGGTCTGCCACAAAAATAACTAGACTGATGCTGTAAGTAGGCAAACAATTATGGTGAGGGCGAAATAAGCAGACCATATTTGACCCTGATCTGTCCTCTACCAGTGACGCAAGTTTCAACTTGTTTGCTTCACTCAGTAGCAGTGGACGAGTGTTTTTGTACAGATGTGTTTTTACCCTCGGCTGGAAAATGTCTGACTGCAAAAGTGAACAACAAGTTAACATCAAGTTTCTAGTTAAACTGAAGAAATCAGCGACGGAAACTTTTCAATTATTGACTGAGGTGAAGATTGCATGTCTCGTACACGCGTTTTTGAATGGCACAAAACGATTTTCGGAAGGCAGAGAATGCGTGAAATGATGATGATCGCCCAGGACGTCCACGCACAGCTGTTCAAGGCAATGTTGATTGTTTTCTTCGATATCATGGGTATTGTGATGGCAGAGTGGGTACCCAGTGGCCAGACGGTAAATCAGCTCTTGACAAATTTGCGTGAAAGTGTGAGAAAGAAACGACCGGAATTATGAAGAAACGGGCGGATTTTGCACCAGGACAACGCGCCAGCCCACAACGCCTTGTCTGTGAAGCAGTTTTTAGCTAATAAAAACATCACTGTGCTTGACCACCAACCCTATTTGCCAGACCTCGCTCCCTGCGACTTCTACCTCTTCCCAGAGATGAAGTCGGTGCTCAAAGGAACCCATTTTTTGTCGGTAGAAGATGTGTAAACAAAATCGGCGGAGATCCTCAACAGCCTTACAGAACATGACCTGCGGAATTGCTTTGAACGTTGGCAGCATCGTATGCAGCAGTGTGTCAACTCAGAAGGGAACTATTTTGAAGGCGATCATAGTTGTTTTTCTGATTTTGTTAAATAAAAAGAGTTACAGGCACAGTCTCGTTTTTTGTGGCAGATCTTGTATATGTCTTTGGACTGATAAACCCCAAGCTTGGAAATCAGATGTTGTGGATGACTGGTTAGCATATTTATTAGATTTGGGTTGGAACATCAACTCATGACCAGTTACAGTGACTCAGGTTTGTTTGGTCACCCTAAGTCACTGCAAACTAGATTATAATCTCTTCCTTTCTAATGTATACTTCAGTCATGCCACCATCTTATACTACATAACCAGTATGGTACCTCAATAAAGTGTCATGAAATCAGTCAAGATGTAGTTCCCTGACTGCAGAGCTGATCTGTCATTTTTCATTTTATTTTTTGTATTTGAAGTGCATTCCAGTATAGTGAGCAGTAGTATCACCATTGATGTTTAGTAAAGTGGGGCAGGAATCTAGGGATTGCTGTAATAATGTCCACATCTTGTTTAAGCAGTTGAAGATGGTGCTTCAGGGGAGAGCTTAACTCGTCTGGTGCACCTCTGCTTAGGAAGGCCTCTTGACAAATCTGATCAGTTTTCAAACTGGGAAAGGAGACCTTTACGAGACAGTCAGAAATTGTATGCAGGTAAGCAGTTATAAATAAATATACATTGCACACTATAATAGGAAAGTTGTTAACTGCATGTTCCATGAAATAGTAAGAATAATAATCTCATGAAAAGAACATGATTGTAGTGTTTGTTCTCACACTTTTAGTTCTAATATTTGTATCTGTTTTCAGCTTTGGATGCATATTGTTTATTGGAAGTGTACGACGTACTTTCACAGTGTGCACATGAGCAGGACATTCCTTTGTTTGAGATCTGCAGTGAGGTTATGGCTGACGTGAAGTCTCCTCGAAAAATGGCAAAACATTCCAGGAAGCCAGTAAAACAAAAGGTAATCAGTCATAGCAGTATTCTTTCAAAATGAAAGTTCATGAGATGATAATTTATCTTTTATTAGCTGCTGCTTGGTACTGAAAACACTTTCCTGGTGCTTCTCTTATTATTTATTTCTCTTTATCGAGTTCTCATTTACCTGACAGTTTTCAGTTTTGCATGTTTAATTCAATTCAATTAAATTAATTTATTTACGTGTTTGCCAACAGCAAGAAGCCAATAACAGGCAAACACTGATAATACATACAATAATAATGAAATAATAATGAAAAATAGTACACAAACAGATTAACTAAACTTATACATGTACAGTATTAAATATAACTTCCAAGTACAGGCAAATCCAAAATAGAAACAATATTAACACAAAGCAAAATAAATGAAGAAATATGAATAAAAACAAATAATCCACCTAGGGAATACTAATATAATTGTAAAACCTTAAAGAAATATAAAAAAAGGTAACGAAGCTAGATCATCTATCAAGACAACCTATCTAGGTCATTTCCCGTATTGAGAACGTGTCCTCAAGGGAGACAATGTTTATGCTAAATACGTCCAAAGATTTACATACGTCATTTGCAGCGATGACGCACCTGGCTGAAGGACTATGTCTTAGTGCACTGGTCACACTAAAAGTAGAAAATTCTCTTATTTGCCTCGCCGGCACACGTAAACCAACAGCGTCCATAATGGAATGGCAATTTATTTTGCCCTTAAAAACATTAACAAGAAATAACGCATCGAGATGTCGTTGTCTGGAATAAAGTGTTCTAAAATTTAAAGTAGATAGGATCAATTCATACTTGCATGGGATATTAAACTGAAAAAATCGGTAATTGCACAAACTGGCAAATTTTCTTTGAATATTTTCTAATTTATTAGAATCTTTCTGTGTAAGATTATTCCAAATGACCGAGGCATACTCAAGCTTTGATCTAATTAAAGCATTATATAAAAAAACAAGGCTGTCTAAAGATGAAAAATTATAAGTAATTAAAACGAATAAGCCCTAAGGTCCTTAGTGCCTGGGAATGAACACAATTTACATGACAGTGAAAATACAGTTTACTGTCTAACAAAACACCAAGATCATTTATACAATTAGTATGCAAGATTAAAAAGTCACTAACAATGTAATTAATGTTAGGAAATCAATTAAATGTTTTTAGTGTATCAGCAATGTATGATGTAACATAGTCTGTGATTACTGGGATGACTGACCACCTGGACAAGGACATTGGCCCTCTGATGGTGGTGGCAGAGAAATTGGATTGGAACTCCATATATACTCAGCTTATCGCCGGAGATGTCATTGCATTATGCATTTCGCTTAATTTTGCTGTTCATTATGACATGGTTCTTTTCAGTTCTTTGCTTTTGCTTATTGGTATATAGTATAAGTCTTCCAGAAATATACTTCTAGGCTGTTGATCTGCAGTAAAATTGTTAAAATAGATAGTCATATTTTGTTTTATAGAAAATCTGGTTTTATGGAGTCAGTTTTGTGCTAACCTATGTAGCTTAAGCAGGATAATGTTGTATGTTGTTGTAACTTGTTAGCGTCATGCTTTTATATACCATTGCATTTTCTATCAATTGTGTGGACAGAAAAGGAATAGAAGTTGGAAACTGTTTTCATTTCAGAATTGAATATTAGCTTGTGTGTAGATCTGGTAAAACATTAAGTAGAAATCTGGAAAAATAATATATTACTAGAATTCTTATATATTTTGTTAGCTTGAGAATGAAAAATGTGTCCTTTTAGAGGAAATCTCTTGGTCGGGTGAATAATTATAGATGTCCCAATAAAGGTCATGCTTTCAGTTAGTGTTCATCTGTTGCAGGACATGACAGTACAAGAGGCATCCTTACCTCCTACTGAACCAATACCAGTAAGTCAGTTCAGAGCAGTTTGTGATAATATGGTTCAGGGTTTGGGGAAGATGTTGCGGAAGTGTGGAATTGATACAGAAATCCTTGCAAATGAAGATGATCATGATATGTGTGTGAGAATTTGTAACAAAGAGCAAAGAATAATCCTCACTCGTGGGAATGTTTATAATCAGGTAAGATACAATAATTTTTTTTCCGTGGCGTAACAGTCCTATGAGAGCCAAAGCCGTATAGCTGGCTGCTGGCCTCACGTTCACCTGCCTAAGCAGAGGTGAACGATCATCAAACCAGATATAGGGTGATGTGTGGTCAGCACGACGAACCCCCAGCCATTGCTAGTTTCCATGACCGGATTATGCTACCCATTGTAGCTCCCAAATTTCCTCACGATGCTGGGTTGGCACCGGTCCCATACACTGGCCGAAAATCTCATGAGAGATGTCTTTCCCCGAGACTCTAACCAGCACGCATTCCGTATCACAGATCTGAAGCATGATGCCTCAGACCGCGCGGCTACAGCGCAGGACAAGATACAATAATACCTTATCAATATTGAGCTGATTATGAGGATAAAAGAATTCACCTGATTGATGCTCTTTCAGATACCAGACCCTGAATGAATGCACAGCCAAGGACAATATCATTTGACTTAATAGTTATGCCATATTTCAGTTTGTAAATATTTAGTTTCCATTATAACCAGACAATTTTTAATATTTTATAAAATTACCTTAATTCTAAGTAGCTATATGAATAAGAACTTTATTCTGAAAGAATTATTTTTGTAAAATACTTTCTACATGTTTCAGGCTTATCAGATGGTCTTCAAGTATAGTCTTATATGTGGAATAAATTAGATACATTTTAAGTGTGTTAAGTGATGCTGTGGTTTTGTGTATTCTTACGTAGGGTCACATATGTTGTGGTGAAATAAATATTTGGATACAATGTGTATAGACAGCTTTCTGATGATAATGTTAAAATTAGTTATTGTAAGTCATGCATTGACAAGTCATGCATTGACAAGTACTTAAATGTGAAACACAAACTTTGGCCTGCAGTATTAACTTACATTTTAACAAGACTAGAGCAGAGTGCTCCTTTCGGAGTGCCTCGGGGGGGATTGGTCAAGTTTGTAAAACGCAACCAACCTTGTGTAAGAAACTAAACTAACCCCCCCGAATGGGCGGTTAAACACTTGACCAACCACCCCAAATGGGGGGTTGGTTGCGTTTTAAAATCTTGAGTAAGAAACTAAACTACCCCCCGAATGGGGGTTAAAACACTTGACCAACCCCTCAAAGGGGGGGTTGGTCAAGTGTTTAAAACGCAACCATGGGGGGGGGGTTAGTTTAGTGTCTTACTCAAGTGTTTTAACCCCCTTCCTTTCATTGTATTTATTGCCTAAATATAATTTAAATACAGAGACGTCAGTTTTCGTAATCGTAATATATCGAATGAGCAGTATGATTTGAATGACCTTGTTGGTGTTGATAACGTCTTCTTTCACTCTTCTTCATTCTTAAATAGTTCTGATGTTTTAGTTCTTTACGTCGCTGTTCGGAGGCCAACTGTCAGTCAAATCTTCATTTTTAAAAATGTGATGTGCTGCTTCTGGAGCAGTGATCATGCGACTGGCTTGGTAGTAGGTAATCTCGTAGCTGTGAACCGTTAATTGTTTGATGATGTCATTTTTTGACGACAGATTGGTTGGCTACAAATTGGTTGACAACGATGGGGAATCACAAATTTTTATAATAGATAACACATCAGTGTTAGCACTTTGTGTTCCAGGGTTCATACTCCATAGGCATATATTTTGAATATCATTCAATAAGAAATAAATGAGATAATCCTTTGCTTTCTGGAAGTCATTTTTGTGTGAGAACATTGATTAAGCAGCTGCAGATAGCTGGCAAGGGGTGGTCTTCCAGCTGGGTGCTATAAGAAACTAGTGCTTACTGACTTTTAACACAGAAAAGGAAAATTAACTTTCATCTTGTATAAAAGGTGGAAATTCCTTGGCAAGCTGAGTGACTGTTAGCTTTCAAAGGAGGACTTTGTTCCAAGGAGTTGCTAATTGAAAAGTATCAAATAAAGATTGTTCTGTATGATTTGCGGTAGGTCACCCACTATGACTCATTTTGTTATGGTCTTTTGTTGTATTCTTTTCACATGGCACTGATTGCTGCTAAAGATTAAGTATTAACATTTCAATTACTTCATTTATGTGTATTTACTATATGGACTTCTTTTATTAATTTTTATGAAAGCAATTGAAAATGTCATTTTGGTGAATTATGATGTTTGTTGTTCAGCTGTGCCAACACGTACCTCAAGGACACTGCTATCAAGTGAAATCGGATATAGTGGAGGAGCAACTCCAGGAAGTGCTCAAGTACTTCAATGTTTTTATAACCAGGCAAGATGTCTTCAGCAGGTGCCAAGTAAGTTTAGTGACTGACTGGTAATATTACAAACAAACATGAAAAGGCATGTACCAGTTTAGAGTACTGTGATGTCAGCATATTTGATATTATAATAATGTAATGTATAACAATCTAAGAACAACTGTGGGTACATTAATTCTGTCAAAATTTTGTTTGATTATATTATGTGGGTGTATTCATTATCCTGTTCGTGTACATGAGATTTGGGTTGAAAATTTACTGCACCACAGAACACTGTAGAGAACAAATTTCATATCACACTAAAATTTAATTCACTCTTACCTGTAAACTGTCAAGTGTGAAGTTTTAGTAACCCATAGGTTGCATTTTATAAATAATTAAGTTTTTATCATTAAATCTATTATTCAGTTAAATGTAATTTTTTAATCAAGGTTTCGCAAATACAGTGGAACTTGTTTATAACAAGATCTCGGCTATTGCGAGCAGACAGAGAAGAGTTGGTTGGAAATGATTATTTTATGAACAACAGTTCACAGTTAAAGGGATCATGGTAGTTGAGAGCTTTATGGGTATAACGAGCAAACCTTTAAGCCATTATAATGAGCAGTGGCTGAACTGCTAAGATCTATTATTGCTTTGCCCATTTATGACATTCTCCCCCTTATCCCTTTCCACATCCCTGCCAGTAGCTATTTATAACCCTTTTAACGATATTTACAGAGACATTCATAGTGCGTTTAGTTTGATTTCCGTTCTCAGTCTTATTTAGTGCAGTACGCTACTCACAAAGAGCATAGTCCTCATTCCAGCAGTATTGTGGAAATCCCCACAGACCCTGTGTGGTTATGTTGTGGGGGTGCCAAGGGCAAGGTATCGGGGCAAATGTATAGTGTTCTAAATGGTTACCCATAGTGGGGGAGGGCAGAATGATTCTGTTGGACCGCTGCCTCCTTTGGATAGAGCATGTCCTACGTTGTGGTTGCACATGTCATTGAGCCCCCTATCTTAGTCCACTCTCCTGTCTCTTTCTTAATGTTATGGATTCTCAGAAAACCTAGGGAGGGAACTAACCAATGACATTTTTTGTATCAGTATGAAACATTTAGCAAAGTAACATATAGCTACAATAATGGATGTAATGAGTAACGGTCGTAACGAGCACTTTTTCTTGGCCCCTTGGATCTCGTTATAACCGAGTTTGACTGTATTTTGTTTCAGATTTGCAATGGTGGGGATTTTGTTGTGGTGACTCAAGATGTAATGCACCAATTAGCTCAGGCGTCTCAACTAATGGCCCAGTTTTATGCTAGAAATCAAGAATTAAAGTTGGATGAAGGGTTCTCAACTGAAAGTGGTGTCATTATAGAACATTGTAAAACTAGGAAAGGAGTCACTATTCATGTGGATGCTGTTCCTGCAGGGGTTTTAAATCAAATTCAGGAATTCCATATCTGTGAAGACTGTGGAAAATGTTATTGGGATGGCTCACATTTTGAAAGGCTTGTATGTGGTCGGCTTCAGAACATTGTGATCTCATAATTCAGGAACTTAAAATAGTATAACATTGGATAAAGTGTTCAGTTGAATGCATCACCAGTTTGATAAATTGACTTTCCTTTTAAAAGCTAATTCTTTTAATTTGGGCAGCTGATGTGGGTTAGAAAAGGGACTGATAGTCAGGATTAAACTCCTGGTAAGTGTGATGGAACTTTTTTTTTATTTTTATATTTGCTTAATTATGATATACTTAATAATGCTGGCAGTAGCTCAGACTGTATAGTGTTGAATAATAGGATGATTAATGATTTTGAAAGGATATGGAAACAAGTGGTCATGGCCTAATTTGAGGTGTTGTCTTGGTACATTCCTGAAGAGACTGAGGAAAATTGTGGGAAGGAGTCAGGATGGCAGGTCTCTGGACCAAGATTTTAACTCAGGACCTCCCAAATATGAAGCACGAGTGCTGACCACTGGATGGAAACTTTGTTATCACGTTGTGTGTGGGTCTTGGAATCCTGCCTGCCATATATCCATTGGGTATGGAAGCTCCATCCACCTAGTATTGAGGAAAAGAATGTGCAGTGCAACACCTCCATGTCTTCTTGGCATGGTGCTTAGTCACAGGGAAAGTTCTACCTTTTCCTTTCATTTATTAATTTGAAGGGTTTCTGACCATTCACCCCTACACCTGGTGCCGAGGTCAAGAATGGGTAGGAGCTGTACCTCTTCTCCTCCCAAATGACCTAGATGGTGTGTAGTGGGACTGCTTTACTTTTTTACTTCCCATGTAGAGGGGATTGCCAGTGTCTACCAAAGTGTGGACTTCAAGTAATGTGGATGAATCCCCCCCTCCTAAGTTGGCCCTCCCTGCAATGTATTATTTCCAATGTTATCTAGTTTTTTTGAATAGCAAGATCCATCTCTGGACTGCTCCTACCTCAGAAACAGGTTTCTTCATGTCACAACAGCAATGAACATCATAGCCAAGTTGTTAGCACTATTACTACATAGGAGGTTCCAGGTTCAGTTCTCAGCCAAGAGATTGAGTATCCTGATTGAGGTTTTTGTGGTGTATATCAGTTCTTTCAGGCAAATGTTGAGACAGTACCTTAAATAATGCCAGTATTGCTTCCTTCATATCTTTTTCCAAATTTATTATTCACAAATGATCCTGGTATTTGTTTCTATATAATCTAAGCTATTGACACCAATAAATAAACCATGAATAAAACTCACCATTTTCAGCAGAGTCCAGAATGATAAATGAAGCTTGTAACTGTAGTTATCTGCAATTATTTTAGTTGTACTTTTACATCTAAGTGTTAACAGTTTCTTACAAGTCCCGCGCCGTAGCCGCGTGGTTTGAGGCATCATGCTTTGGACCGGCGATATGGAATGTGCGCTGGGTCGAGTCTCGGGGGGGGGGGAGAAGAAATTTTCTCATGAGCTTTTGACCAGTGTATGGGACCGGTGCCAACCCAGCATCGTGAGGAAATTGGGGAGCTACAATGGGTAGCGTAATCTGGTCATGGAAACTAGCAGTGGCTGGGGGTTTGTCGTGCTGACCACACGTCACCCTATATCTGGTTGGATGATCATTTACCTCTGCTTAGGCATGTGAACGTGAGGCCAGCAGTCAAGCTAGTCGGCTTTGGCACTCTGGAGCTGTTATGCCACGGATTTAATTTAATTTAACTGTTTCTTACAATATGAAAGTTATGTACAGAGAAACTAAACAATCAGGAGGATTTACATATCTGTAAGAATGACTGAGTGATGTTTACATACACATATTATTACATACTTTTATTTTGGGAATTTTAAGAAATGTGATGAATGGATTGTATGTGATCCTGGAAATTATAAAATACTGGAATCATCTGTTATTTTCTGTCATCTGTTAGTTCGAGGCATCAGAACATAAAAATTCTGCTGTGCAATATATGGCACTACAAATTTGATATAAAATTGCCAGGTGAATGGGTCTGATATAGCGTACTTAAAAGAGTTGTTGTTTAAACCAGCATTTTTGTAATTGAATCATTTATTGTTCGCTCAGACATGAGCTGTGAGATGTGCGTGAATGAGTGTAAGGACGCTGTCTGCTAGTGGTAGTGGGCCATGTAGGGGAACATCTTTCTCTGTACTACTAAACACAAAAACATAGTGCAGATTGAATTACTTTCAGTGCTGATGAACATTTTAGAAAGCTTCTATTCCACTTAATTCCTCATCATCTTCTTCTGCAACTTTTTCATCCATTTCCTTTTTCTCACTACTGCTACAACTGCTGGTATCACTGTCATTTTGTAAATTAACTATAATTTAGTATTTGAGGCTTTCGTGGGAAGTACAATCAATAAAATCTTGGGCAATCAGCCGCGTCAACTGGTTACAATAGTAAACCGACGTTTCGGGAACCAACTCTGTCCCCATCACCAGGGTTCTGATGATGGGGACAGAGGTAACCAGTTGACGCGGCTGATTGCCCGAGAAGATTTTATTAACTATAATTTGTTCTGAAATTTCATCAATAATAGGTTCCAACCGCAAGTAATTCTGTTTGCACTGATGGGAGTTGTTGCACCTTGAGTTCTATTCTTCCTTTGTGATGATACTAAACTTTTCCTCAGCTAGTTTCATGGCGTTATCTAGACGGAAACTGACATTCTTTCTGGCGATGTATTCTATAACTGATCCACATGTCAGTTCAATGGGATTAAGATCTTTTTCCCCCACTCATTTATTATGTTCATACTCTTTTTAAATGCGTTTCAGAGCACTTATGGACATACCAGTAGCTTCAGAAAGACGGTTTTGTATTTGATTTACATTAATCACATTGCCGCTGTCAGCTTCTTCCTTAATAAAACTGTAAACACTTATCACCTTTTCTCTACTTTGGCTGTGTATTACTTTAGTTAGTTAGTTAGTTAATTCCTTTTATTCCTCTTGAGAACATAGGGCTGATATAAAGCTCCTCCACCTCACTCAGTTGTTGGTGAGTGCCTTTATTTTGTTCCAAATTTCCCCTGTGATCTTGCTTCCTTTTCAATAGATCTCCACCATGTAATCCTCGGTCTTCCTCTTTTCCGTGCTCCTTGGGGGTTCCAGTCCAACACTTGCTTTGAAATTCTCCCAACCTCTTTCCTAAGCGTGTGTCCCAGCCACTTCCATTTCCTTTCCTTGATCTGTTGTTGTATTTTCGTTTGATGGTAATTCTCCACAATTTTTCATTTGAAGTATTTTCTGGCCATCTAATTTTTAGAAAAAACTGTAGACATCTTTTGGTATAACTTTGTAACTTTTGCATTAGTTCTTTAGAATCAGGCTGGCATTGTTTTATATCAGTTTCTTTCATATTAGAGATTTAAGGCAGTGTGGGTTATAAGCCACTCAGCTGCCCGAGCTTGGTGGAAGGGCTGCCTCCTTTGGCCCCTAGGCTTTGCTTACCCCTTCTCTTCAGACCTTACCAGCATGGGTGGCCTTACCAGGAACATACGTTCCAGCCAGCATCGCTCTTCGGGTCATTAGGGGACTGAACCCTCCCAGGGGTATTACTTTATGTCCCCCTGTTTTCTTTACACCTCTGCCCTCACCTTGCATTCTGTTTATTCTGAGTAGGAACAACAACAATGAAAATGACAGGCCAAATTATAAATGGTCCAATGTTATTGAAGTGGAATGCAACACACAAAGCGAACTCGGTCATGGCTCGCTTGTAACTGACCTCCGCTTACACCCTACTCACTGTTCGAGTTGCAAATACGCTGCACGTCTCAAGGCCATAGCTCATGTCCCACCAAATGTCTAATACTTGGAAAAGGAAGCATCCAGAAATATAAACTTTATGGGAAATACAAACAATTGTATTTTATGAAGTTTGGGATGGGTTAGAAATATATTTTTTAATGACATTGCATCATATACACACACAATCCCCCTTTTGGAACCAGTTGACCAACTTGTCAAAGTTGCTCGCAGACATTCTCTTTCTCACTAACTGATTTCTTATAATAAAGACATCCTTTTGATGATATGTAAACAGTGAATCAGAGGTACTTTTTATTAAAAAATAATACATAACTAAAGAATATATATTAAAGTATTATAAATCTTCAGCAGGTCCCTTGGCTTATTTTACTGGCTGCTGAAATATTTCCATGTATAAATTATATTATGTCAGTTTTATTTATTCATTTACTTTTGTTAGTTTATTGGAAGGTTTCTAGCATATGATCTGAAATTCTTTGTTGTGGGTAAGAACTTAAGGATTGTGAGAGAGAAAATTACTCCCTGGTAAATCAGTCAATAAACTAAGTATTCCAGGATTAGGAGAATCATATCAAAATTCATTATACTTGCAAACTTTGAAAGAAACTTCACATTATGTTCTGTATGACTGATTTCCTATTGGTAAATTTTTATGTACTGTGTACATGATATTCACAGATTGAACACATGTAGGAGTGATTGTGTCTGTCTGCATGATTCAGCTCTAGATCTTTTGAATAGATTCTGATGAAGTGTAGTTTGAATTTTATGTCATTGGAGGCTATCCTAATGGCACACTTTTTAATTTCCTGGAATTGATAATACCAACATGGTGGACAGATGAAATTGCTAGGTGATAGTGCCTTTGGAGCCACATAATTTAGTGCCCTGAGATTTTGTATAGCAACATCTTAAAAATATGTCTTTTGTTACAGTAATTCTTTGTACATTGTAAACCATCAACATTGTAGCTGCATGAGACAGTAACAAAAATTTTATTCAGCCAGAATTTTATCACGTGACCATGTGTGCACTATTCCAATTCACTACCACAGAGATAATTTTCATTGTGTTGTATTGTTACAGATTTATATTACTTGAAGAAGACATTAAGAACATATGATTTGTGAAGTTAGAAATTAAATTTGTTTTACTAAGAAAACATTTTATTTTATGAATACTTGTTCTTTGAAATCAACTGGTTTGTGTGATATTTCAATATGTGTATTAAATAGTTTGTAATGCAGATACAGAGTCAAGACGCTGCATTTGAAACTATGCTGTTCTGTCAACTGTCTGTTTCTGATAAGAGACGTGACTCTGTAGAGAAGAAAGAAAATATTTAAAATGTATGTTCATGTATTTCTAACGATGATAATGGAAGGTATATGAATTGGATTGCACGTGGCCCCAGTTTATTTTGTGAGGGACAAGATAGGTAGGTAAAGACTTTATGAATAAATCTTATCTGATGTTGAAAACATATGCATGTGTTTTTACATCATCTGCAGTCTATTGCTATGCTTATCAGACCGTACTTATTGTAAGGCATATGTAATCAGATTGAAGCATTCAGAATGCAAAAGTGCAGAGAAGACGTGGATAAAACGTTTCTGGTATAGTGCCAGATAACCTTTGGGGTCCTTGATCATATGCTGGCCTTTTAAATTGTAGGTATACAAATTCAATTTTGGTTTTGGTAGCATCTCTAAGTGGATATAAATGTGCATGTGTTGGTGTGCGTGTTTAAGAGCCACACCTCTTTTATCAGTAGGTACTGTAACTTGTGTGTAAATTTCCGGTACCATTATTTAAGCTTCACTCCTTTGTTGCTGTAATGTGGTTACAAATTGACAACGGGTGTTGAATGCATCTTTTTATTTCCAGTATGATCTATGTAGTATGTGAGTTTGTTCTGTGTATAACATTTATAATTCCTCTGCGTTAATGTTAAAATATTATATTAAATTAGGTGATGAACATATCCTTGCAACTTATCACTCTTGTGTACTGATGTGTTACTTCATGATGACTGGCCAATGCAAGAGGGGAAGATGTGAATAGTGAGGTAAATTGAAACTTCAAGCACAAGAAATAGTGACAGTAGCTACCGATGCGATGGAAAACATGAACTTTTCATTACTATAAAACATGGCTCAAGTATAGTAATTATGCAAAAAATTGTACAGTTCTACTAGAATTGACTGTAACTGAATTGTTTTCTGTTTAAAATTGATTCTCTGTACCTATACTTTGAATAGGAGCTCTTCTAAGAACTGATGCTCTTATGCTTGGTAATGTCACCTGGCTCAAATAATGAAGTTTCTCTGGTTCTCACACACAGCTCTTGGCAAGCTGACCCATAAACATGTGTCCATGTTTTTTGTAGGTTCGACGAAGTTCACAGTGCAGCTGAAACTAAAGGGACACTGTAGAGTAACAGGTCAGTAAATTTGAGACTGTCATCACTTGATAAATAACTTGCACACCAAATAAGACAGTCATGAGATTTTTAATGGGTGCCATTGAAAACATCGGTACAAATATAATTATTTTGCATCATGTGGAAGTTTTGTAGCAGCAGATAAGTCAACATCATGATCACAGTGACATACACTGTTTGGCCAAGGATATATAGTCATGTGCATAAAGAAGTCTTACATTAGACCGAACTCTTACTGTAACGTGTAAATTTCCAGTATCAGTATTTAAGTTTTTCTGCTGTGTTTCTGTATTGTGGTTACAAATTGACACAGGTGCTGCATGCATCATTTCAGTATGATCCATATACTATGTAAGTTTCCTTCTGTGTATAAACATTTATAATTCCTCTGTGTTTATGTTAAACATTGTATTAAATTCAGTGATGGCCGTTTCGTTACAACTTGTCACTCTTATATACTGATGTGCTGCTTCATGATGAGTTTGGCCTGTGCAAAAGGGGAAGAAAATGTGAATAGTGAGGTAAATTGAAACTTGCAAGTATCAATGTTGGTAGCACAAGAAATAGTGGCAGAGTTGCTTATACGGCTGGTAGCCCGAGAAGAATTGATTGTACTTAGTCGCCGTGAAAGTTTCAGATCATACATTACTTTCTGCTTACACAAAATTAGCGCCGTCGCCATTTTTCGATACATGATACATTTATGACTTATCTCCATACCACGTTTCACATGCTGTTACTGCAGCTAAAGAAAAGTTTCGGACGATCGCGATATTTCTGTTTTACATTAAACAAATACGAAGCTTAACCGAAATTGTGTATGTTTCGAATGTCTGTTAAGAATACATGATTTCGGGACCGAGAATGGAGTGATTTGTGATTGTAAGAAATTACGAAGTATGAGTTTGTGGATGCGTTCTGTAGCATAACGTCCATTCATTAACATCGTTAAACTGGTTAAAACTTAAAAGAGTGATGTGTGATGCCGTAACCGTTAATTTTTGGAACTGGAATTTTGTGGCAGGTAAGAACAAATTTTTATCTTACAGTGCACGATCGTTCGTATGTTACATGAGAGGTTTTGGTACAGAGAAGTGGGGAAGCAATTTCATTCTTTCAGTGGAGTTTATCTTGGTAAAAATCCGAACTATTTCGCTAGTTAGATTTGTCATTGCATATACAAAGTCATTACTGCAACAGCAATAACACTACAGAACATATGCCAGAGAGTCGGAAATTACCATGTTAATGTTGACTGCATTGAAGAGTTGTAGATGTTAATAGTGTCTAACGTATGTGATTAAAAAATGTATGATGAGCAGTATTTGAGGCAATATCTCAGCGTTTCCCGACAGGATTTAGGGCGCAGGTAGTAGCAAAGAGTATATCCTCAGTTAGAAGAACAGGAAATGGAAGACAGATGCCACCCTTTCACTCGTGCCGTACACGTAATGTACCTATTTTATGAAGTATCTCAAATTTTAACTATTTTAATTCAGTCTTATTAATTTCTGGAGATGCACTAGTTTTGTTTTCGTGGGCGAAGTGTCAGCGTTAATACCTTTCCGTCCATATGTTGTTTTTAACTTGACACGTGTTAACAGTATGCCTTGAAGATGATGGGCTGTATATATAGTTTCCATGCCAAGAAAGCTAAAAATAACCCGGAAAGTTTTCTCGCATTTCTTTCGTCGAGGGTTTTAAGACGCGGCGTCACGAATTGTGGCAAGGCCAATGGTCCGCGCGCCGTGAATCTGCAGTCTACTGCCCTCTGGCAGAAGGCCGCTGACACAAACCACGGTCGTGTCGCATTAAGAAGTGAATCAGAATTGAAGTACACTGTAAAATATAGCTTAGGTGATGGACTCAGCCTTAAATTATGTTACAAAAATTATAAACTGATCTCGGTGAGAGGAGTCGGTTAAGGAAATTAATAAATTCCCAGTCTTTTATGGAATCCGACGAGTCATTACCGTGTACCTTAATCTGAAAATATAATATTTAATGAAGAGTGTGAATTATGGAGATTTTTATTGTTCAGTTTCAGCTTTATCTGTCGGGTTGAAATATTCTCTTCAACATCTTGACTTCATCTGTTTTCAAAAAAGTGGTTACAAATTGACAACGGGTGTTGAATGCATCTTTTTATTTCCAGTATGATCTATGTAGTATGTGAGTTTGTTCTGTGTATAACATTTATAATTCCTCTGCGTTAATGTTAAAATATTATATTAAATTAGGTGATGAACATATCCTTGCAACTTATCACTCTTGTGTACTGATGTGTTACTTCATGATGACTGGCCAATGCAAGAGGGGAAGATGTGAATAGTGAGGTAAATTGAAACTTCAAGCACAAGAAATAGTGACAGTAGCTACCGATGCGATGGAAAACATGAACTTTTCATTACTATAAAACATGGCTCAAGTATAGTAATTATGCAAAAAATTGTACAGTTCTACTAGAATTGACTGTAACTGAATTGTTTTCTGTTTAAAATTGATTCTCTGTACCTATACTTTGAATAGGAGCTCTTCTAAGAACTGATGCTCTTATGCTTGGTAATGTCACCTGGCTCAAATAATGAAGTTTCTCTGGTTCTCACACACAGCTCTTGGCAAGCTGACCCATAAACATGTGTCCATGTTTTTTGTAGGTTCGACGAAGTTCACAGTGCAGCTGAAACTAAAGGGACACTGTAGAGTAACAGGTCAGTAAATTTGAGACTGTCATCACTTGATAAATAACTTGCACACCAAATAAGACAGTCATGAGATTTTTAATGGGTGCCATTGAAAACATCGGTACAAATATAATTATTTTGCATCATGTGGAAGTTTTGTAGCAGCAGATAAGTCAACATCATGATCACAGTGACATACACTGTTTGGCCAAGGATATATAGTCATGTGCATAAAGAAGTCTTACATTAGACCGAACTCTTACTGTAACGTGTAAATTTCCAGTATCAGTATTTAAGTTTTTCTGCTGTGTTTCTGTATTGTGGTTACAAATTGACACAGGTGCTGCATGCATCATTTCAGTATGATCCATATACTATGTAAGTTTCCTTCTGTGTATAAACATTTATAATTCCTCTGTGTTTATGTTAAACATTGTATTAAATTCAGTGATGGCCGTTTCGTTACAACTTGTCACTCTTATATACTGATGTGCTGCTTCATGATGAGTTTGGCCTGTGCAAAAGGGGAAGAAAATGTGAATAGTGAGGTAAATTGAAACTTGCAAGTATCAATGTTGGTAGCACAAGAAATAGTGGCAGAGTTGCTTATACGGCTGGTAGCCCGAGAAGAATTGATTGTACTTAGTCGCCGTGAAAGTTTCAGATCATACATTACTTTCTGCTTACACAAAATTAGCGCCGTCGCCATTTTTCGATACATGATACATTTATGACTTATCTCCATACCACGTTTCACATGCTGTTACTGCAGCTAAAGAAAAGTTTCGGACGATCGCGATATTTCTGTTTTACATTAAACAAATACGAAGCTTAACCGAAATTGTGTATGTTTCGAATGTCTGTTAAGAATACATGATTTCGGGACCGAGAATGGAGTGATTTGTGATTGTAAGAAATTACGAAGTATGAGTTTGTGGATGCGTTCTGTAGCATAACGTCCATTCATTAACATCGTTAAACTGGTTAAAACTTAAAAGAGTGATGTGTGATGCCGTAACCGTTAATTTTTGGAACTGGAATTTTGTGGCAGGTAAGAACAAATTTTTATCTTACAGTGCACGATCGTTCGTATGTTACATGAGAGGTTTTGGTACAGAGAAGTGGGGAAGCAATTTCATTCTTTCAGTGGAGTTTATCTTGGTAAAAATCCGAACTATTTCGCTAGTTAGATTTGTCATTGCATATACAAAGTCATTACTGCAACAGCAATAACACTACAGAACATATGCCAGAGAGTCGGAAATTACCATGTTAATGTTGACTGCATTGAAGAGTTGTAGATGTTAATAGTGTCTAACGTATGTGATTAAAAAATGTATGATGAGCAGTATTTGAGGCAATATCTCAGCGTTTCCCGACAGGATTTAGGGCGCAGGTAGTAGCAAAGAGTATATCCTCAGTTAGAAGAACAGGAAATGGAAGACAGATGCCACCCTTTCACTCGTGCCGTACACGTAATGTACCTATTTTATGAAGTATCTCAAATTTTAACTATTTTAATTCAGTCTTATTAATTTCTGGAGATGCACTAGTTTTGTTTTCGTGGGCGAAGTGTCAGCGTTAATACCTTTCCGTCCATATGTTGTTTTTAACTTGACACGTGTTAACAGTATGCCTTGAAGATGATGGGCTGTATATATAGTTTCCATGCCAAGAAAGCTAAAAATAACCCGGAAAGTTTTCTCGCATTTCTTTCGTCGAGGGTTTTAAGACGCGGCGTCACGAATTGTGGCAAGGCCAATGGTCCGCGCGCCGTGAATCTGCAGTCTACTGCCCTCTGGCAGAAGGCCGCTGACACAAACCACGGTCGTGTCGCATTAAGAAGTGAATCAGAATTGAAGTACACTGTAAAATATAGCTTAGGTGATGGACTCAGCCTTAAATTATGTTACAAAAATTATAAACTGATCTCGGTGAGAGGAGTCGGTTAAGGAAATTAATAAATTCCCAGTCTTTTATGGAATCCGACGAGTCATTACCGTGTACCTTAATCTGAAAATATAATATTTAATGAAGAGTGTGAATTATGGAGATTTTTATTGTTCAGTTTCAGCTTTATCTGTCGGGTTGAAATATTCTCTTCAACATCTTGACTTCATCTGTTTTCAAAAAAGGAAAAAAAACAAAGACGTTTTGTAATATTCAGTTTTTTGATGTTATTGTTGGCGCTGATATGAGCAGAATTTTCAAATGAATGACGAACATACCAACGACAATAAGAAACCAAGGTCGACTGTTGCACATCAGTTCGAATCCCGATCTACGCATCGTTGTGTGGCACACATATCAACTGAAACCAAGTTTTTTTTACACAAAAATGTATAAGCATAGCAACCGTGAACTTTCAAGAGAAGTGAGATAGTGCCGGTATGTTATCCACAGTTCCAGTATTGCAACGCTTTCTGTTTCTCCGACTCTGTATTTCACGTCTACCATAAATAAGATTCTCTTCTTTCATGTTTCTTTTGAGCAGAGATTTGTTTTTCTTCGATCATGTTAGACTCACTTGGGGGAAATAATTGTGTTGCAATTTTCTGATTGCAACGTGTTCGGCGTATGATCATATAATTTATCCTTTTGTAGTTTTAACTGCTATTTGCTTCCAGATGTTAAATTGTTCGTCTTTACGGACTAAATAAAACAATTTCCTGTTCTTGTAACAACGATTAAAAATCTTTGACCTTCCTATCGGATGTCCTTCAGTTTATTTTGACAGGGGAGTTTCGGGATTTGATTTTCGGTCATTATTTCCTAATCTTACAGCCGCTTATTTTGATAGTTATATTGATATGTTTTTCCCATTAAGATAACTATATTCTTGGTCGTTGCGCCGCGTAGTCTGGCCCTGATGATGGAGGCAGCAATCATGTCAGAAACATCGGTAAACTTCTACCAGTCTGCACGGCCCAACAACCAAGAAGACAGTCATGTTGATATCGCCGCCTTGAAAGCCTCATATCTCCCAATTCTTCTCTAATGCGTCATTTGTGTCTGCATCTGCCATGTTCTGTGCTGTCATCGTATCGTCAAATGTTTGGCTAGAGTGGCGTGGACGTCACATGTCATCAACAATAAATTGATTGGCTATGGGTTGTATGGACCGGATGGATGTCCATGCCCACATATTTTTTTCCGCCACGTCCACACCCGTTTCTGGGGTCCACCCAGTTTCCCAAATGTTGTTTTCTCCGTGATACAGCAGCGGGACGTGAAACTGACTGGCCAACCCTGTCTACTGTCGAGGTTAAGAATGCGTGGAACGTCGCTTCCATTTCCCCAAACAACTTTGCCTTTCACTTATATGTTGGTCTATTCGGTTCATTCAGGCGGTCTCAGGTTCTATTCTCTGGCCGGAGAACGTCTGTCGTTAAAGCTTTCGTGTATTTTCTCAGTATTCCATCAGTGGGTGTTATTGCGTCGCCAGTACACGAAAATTGGAGGAATATAAACTACATGTTTTGCTATTATTCGTAACAGTGGCATAATCATATCATTGTATAATAATGTTACTATTAAAACACCGTTATGTTGTGCTCTGATTATTTTGAGGGGGATTTAATAATATTGCACTTTTATCACAATTGGACTTCTAGACCAGGATTGTCCTCAGTCATTGCTGGGATACTGCTTTAAAATAGGCTACAAGCTGTTCGTTGTACATCCTTTCCAAGGGGCTTGTTCATAGTCTTCCTATCATTCATTCATTGCTGTGTAACCAGTACGTTGGAAAAGCGTTGTTAAAGAAACAAAGAATCAGTCTTCGTTATGTATGCATGCCTACTTGCTTTTATATGTTACATACAATCTTGTTCAGCAGATGTGAAGTAGTTTACTGTATGAAATTTGAAGTTCTTACAGCGGTGAATATGTCGATGTCCTTTTGGGATGTGATGCCATGTGTACTTGTAGGTAGGTGCAAACGATTTCAAGGAAATTACTGTCTTCATCTTCAGTTCACACGGCATCACAACCAAGAAGACACCATGGACAGTTTGGTACAATAAAATCAATGCGAGTTGTTTTATCGTCTCTATTAACGATAGATTATCTTTACTACTTTAAAAACAAAACTATTTTGTCAGCTACATATGTCAGCCTCTTGTTGTTTTCGGTATTCTGAAGTTCAGTT